TGTTTCCACCAGAAAATTTTCATGTTTTCCATTAAAGTAATAGATAATTTTAAGAATTGGTTCGTGGAATACTCAGGAAACTTGACAGGTTTCCCCCAATGCCTAAACATTTCTGAATATCAGATTTGCAGTTGTTGTGGAAGAAGAGAAGGAAGATATCTTTGCAGGTTCCCGCAGTTTCATCATGAACTTGAACAAGTACAGTATCACTTGTTAGAACATCAAACCTGTGTATTGTAATAGAGTGGGCTCGATATTTTACTATAAAACATTTAATAAACTTCTGTTCTTAATAGAAATTTGTGTTCTTCATACATTTGCTATAATTTTTTAAATAAAATAAATTTCTGCTTAAAGTATTGTTTTGCAAAATTTCAGACATATTCTACAGAAGGTTGTTGATAGTCTTGTGCATGTATTGGCTTTTTTATTTTGCCTCTGTTAGATTAGAGAGCCTAGTTCCACTCGCCTATTTAATTAGGCTGTTTTCGTATTTTGTTCCCTTGGTGTGATGGTTAATTTTATGTGTCATCTTGACTGAGCTAAGGGATGCCCACATTGCGAGTTGTGTTTCCGGAAGAGACTAGCATTTGAATCAGTGAATGAGTAAAGAAGCTTGTCCTTACCAATTCCAGTCAACATCATAAAATCTGTTGAGGGACTGAATAGAACAAAAAGGGAGAAAAAGGGCAAATGTATGCATGACCTGGGACATTCATCTACTCCTGCCCTTGGACTCAGGTGTACACCATTGGCTCCCCTGGTTCTCAGACCTTCAGGTTTGGATTGGAATTATACACCTGCTTTCCTGGGCTTCCAGCTTTCAGATGGCAGGTTGTGGAACCTCTTGGCTGCCACAATCACATGAGCCAATCTCTTATAATAATTATCTATCTATCTATCTATCTATCATCTATTCTCTTTCTATCTATATCAGTTTCTCTGGAGAATCCTAACTAATACACTTAGGATCATTTTCACTTAAAATTTCATCAACTCTCAGAAAAATAACCAGATATATATTACAGTATCTACCAAATGTCAGTGATACAGATTTCAAAACAATGGCTCTCAACACCCCTGATGTGACAAATGACTAAAGCCATATAATTTTCTCAGTTCATCCCTGAAAGAGCTTTAAGAATTTGAAGAGGATTAAACAGCTTGGGTCTTAGAGGATCCAAATAAAAGAATTGGGGCTTAAAGCAGTGATTCCTGTTCGATCTCTCTCCATCAACAAACCGGAGTCCTTTACCAAACAAATCAAGTTTATTAAATGATAAGTAAACCCATTTTAAATTAATAAAAGGAACATGCTATAAGTAAAGCTTCAGATGAATATGATATCATTAGTGTTACTGTATTGGAATTTTAATTAGACTTTTGTACATTTCCCTTAGGCTTTTATAAATAGTGAAAATTGTTCAGAAACCCCATTTCTTCTTGTGGGAAACCTCAGGAATTTGAATCATGGGCTGACTTCTGCCAGGCCAAAGAGTTTCTAAGGCTTGTGGCCTATCTTGGGCTGTGCTGGTTTGTTAGGGCTACCATAACAAAATACCACAGACTGGGTGGCTTAAACAATAGAAATGTATTTTCTTACAGATCTGCAGGCTAGATTCTAAGATCAAGGTGTTTGATTTCTCCTGAGGCCTTTCTTAGGCTTGTGGATGGCTACCTTCTGTGTTCCCACACAGCCTTCCCTTTGTGCATCAGTTTCTCTGGTGTCTCCTTCCTTCTTATGAGGACACCAGTCATGTTAGAATAGGGCCCCATCCTATAGGCTTCTTTTCACCTTAATCACCATTTTTAAAGACCCTACCTATCTCCAAATATATTATATTCTGAGGTACAGGGGTTAAGACTTCAACATAGACATTTGTGGGGATACAATTCAGCCCATAACATGAGGTGTGCCACTGAGAAGTGGCAGAGCTGAGTGAGTGTTCTGAGTCTGCAAGTTGGTGAGAAGAGCACAATATGCCCCAATGGCTTTACTACTTCCACTGTGTAGCCTTGAGTATATCACGTAATCTCTCAATTTTAATTTATTCCATTTCAATTAATTTCTTAATTTCAAGCCTTTAGATTCTTCAACCATGAAATTAGATGAGTAAGAACATAAAGTGCTACCTCTAAGGGTGAAGGGCTCTTGGTGCCCTGGGATGAAGATCGCTTTGCCTGTCACTATCCCTGCAGCAGTTTGCTTTTCAAATGAGGGGGCAGAAGCTATGGTAGAGTAGACTGGTGACTCATGGATGTTGGAGCCAGAGGACCAGGATTTGCACCGGACTCCTCCTTTCTGGTCATGGGCCTTGGGCGCTGACCCATCAAAGGTGCTGAGAACTACTGGTGTGCAATGGAGTGCCAACCCCACTCCTCAGCTGATATACATTAAATGAGTTGATGCTCTTAGTGAGCATTCAACATATATATGCAATATTACTATCTGAAAGTATCATCTAAGAACTTTCCAATCTTCACCTTGTCCCCATCCTAAACCCAAGTATATTCCCCATGGTAGCATGAATAAAGGCCTCTAAAAATGCCCATGTCCACAATCTGGAACCTGTGAATGTTACTCATGTGGCAAAATGAACTCCCAACTCTAAATTAAGGATCCTGAGATAGGAGAGATTATCCTGGATTATTCAAGTGGGCTCAATGAAATCACAAGGAAGCAGGGGGAGATATGACTACAGAAAAGATGATGTGGCCAGAGTAGAGGAAGAATGGATGATGCTAAGACCCTGGCCCTGAAAATGGAGGGAGGAGCCATGAGACAAGAAATATAAGGAGCAAAGGTCTAGTTGAAAGTAATGGATTCTTCCCTCAGAGCCTCAACAGAAACTAGTCCTGCTGACACCTTGACCTTTGCTCTGTCAAACTGATTTTGGATTTCTGGCCTCCAGAACTGTAAGAAAATGTATGTGTTATTTTAGCCCACTAAGTTTGTGTAATTTGTTACAGCAGCCATAGGGAACTAATACATTCCCCCAAACCAAAGTGGCTTTTTCAGAGCAGTGAGCCAGTTGTCAGCAGACGTGTAAGCAAGATGAAAGGCATTCATACCAGCTAATGGCAGGTGGCTCAAAGCCTGCCATAACTTTAGTACTGATAATGTAAGCGTAATAATTTAAACAAAGAAGGTAGAGCTTCTTTGAAGCAGGAATTATTGATTTTGATAGATAATAAAAAATATGAAAGCCCACAGTTGGTTTAAGAATAGCCATCATACTTGTATGCATGCATATGAGCATAAACAATGAACACAGACAGTGGTGGTGGGGAGGTGAGGGCATGTTCCAATGGGGTGAGGGGGCCGGGGAGAGGTCAATGGGGGGAAAAGACTTATGTAATACTTTAAACAATAAAGAATTTAAATTAAAAAAAAGTAGCAATCAGTTGTAAAAGCTTTCAGGCTCAAATGAATGTTCCTATCTATATAATTTTAGAAGAACAGTGGTAATATAAGTTAAACATTTTCTATATAAAAATGGATATTACATTAGCATTTAACAATTTGCTAAAGATAAATTTTTAATTACTTATTTTAGCAGTTCAAATTTAACCCCCCCCTTTTTTTCATTGGTTTCAGAGAGGAAAGGAGAGATAGAAACATCAATGATGAGAAGAATCATTGATCGACTCCTGCACACCCCATACAAGGATAGAGCCCCCAACCTGAGCATGTGCCCTGACTAGGAATCAAACTGTGAACTCCTGGTTCATAGGTCAATGCTCAATCACTGAGCCATGCTGGCTGGGCCAAATTTAACCCATTTTCATGCTTACTGAAACACACCATGAATGACGAAAATAGGCTAAGTAAACAGTTAAAAATTTGTCAGTTTATCAAAACTTTAACTGTAGTGCCCTGCATACTAAGGCTGTGACCACCCCAGTGATATTTTTCTACAGCTGTGGTATTCAGATTGTTCAGTGATCTTAACCACTTGTTCTTTAAGTAAGAACCAAAAGAGTAGCCAGATATGGATTATCCTGACTCTTACTTTCAATGAATTGCTCTGTTACCCTTTTCCCATCCTATATGCAATCCTACTTTAGACTCTATATCAATAATAGGGTACATAACCTTGATATTGGATCACATCCCTTTTTAACGATGATCTAAGTCAGGGGTC